CCGCAGCTGGCAAGGCTGGAGTCTGTTCATTCCTATTTCTATTTTTGGGGCTGTGTCACTTCCTGCCCTTCTGTGGCTTTGGGGTCACTGTGCAGGGGCGGGGAGGGGACACGGGGACATCCCCGATGGCGGGGACAGGGCACTGCAGGACGGGATTGTCACTGTCACACACCAGGAGGGGACTGTCACACACCAGGAGGGGATTGTCACACACCAGGACAAATCCCAGCCCCAGCCCCTGCTCCTGGCCACGCATCCTTCCCCTGGGGCTGTGCCGTGATTTCTTTGTTTATTTGGGATTTATTGTGTCAGGCTCCATCCTCAGCTGGGAGAGGAAGTGGATTTAGCAACAGCAGGAAAGGACACAATGAGTCAGCGGCGGAGGGAAACTGAAAATAAGGAAATATCCAGAGGACGACTTTGTTTCATTTGGGAATTACAGTTGCAAAGCACCATCCAGGGACTAGAATGGAATTAAACATTTATTATTGCTGGTTTTGCCCTGAAAATTCAGAGTAGGTTCATGCAGGGATGCATCACTTGGGTGTTGTTAGAGCTGGGAATTTACCCGGAATTTGCATTTGGGCTGGAATGATGTCAGCATGGCTTGGATGTCTCATTAAACATCATAGGGCAATTAAAATTATTTATCTATAATTGTGTTGCACCAAAAATCAAGATTTTTCTTGCTGCTGTGCCAAGTTTTGGGGAGAAACAGTGGCATAATTCCATTTTCCTAAGGATTTCTTTTGGGAATTCCTGCCCTGAGCGTGAGCTCTGCTCTCCTGCAGCTGATCCGGACAAACCTTTGTGGCTGGGATGGGATCTCAGCAGGGACAGAGCAGGATTTGTGTGCCCTTGGGAAGCCCAGATCTCCAAGCAGGAGAATGGAAGCTCCAGGTTTGTGGGCTCTGAGTCCCCCCAGGAGCCAGGGATGGAATTTTGGGGATCCCCAGGCTCTCCACACCCACAGGGTCAGGCTGGGTGCCTCTGATGCTTAATTCCAATAAATTTGGGATTTTTTACCCTTGGAAGAGCCAGTTTAGCTGGAGAACAGCTCCATGGGGTCCTTGCTGCTGGGTTTCACATGGAGTAACAATTCCAGCTGGCGGTTCCCGTTTTTGGGACGTGAATCCCTGTGGTGGATCCTGGGAATTCCCTGGGATAACTTCCCTGGGGAAAAGCCCCAGGAAGGAAGGAAGGAAGGAAGGAAGGAGGAAGCCCCTTGCTCCCGGCCCGGCAGCACGGCCAGCCCGGGCTTTGACATCAGACACCGGCATTTTTCCTGCCCTTGTGCCGCCGCTGGAGCTCGGGGTT